TATATATATAATATATTGGGAGTGTGCAATAATTTTAAGGAATTTTTTGGTAAAAATACGGCTTTATTATGAAAAAATGATAAACACAAATTGATTATTCAAAATATTGTCCATCGCTAGCATTACTTCTTCCCATTTTTCTAGTAAAGATGGATTCCATGTCGAAAGAACGACATATCTTTTGAGGCTATCCACGAATCGACGATTTTTTTGTATCTTCATAAGAATGGAAGCGCTGCTCAGACAGACCATGAGTCATTGATCGAAATGATGGTAATCGGATGGAGCAATATCTGGAGAATACGGCGAATGTGATAGGACATTCCAGTTAAGCGCTTCCAACGTTTCCTTGATCGGTTTCGCAACATGTGGCCGACCGTTATCATGCTGGAAAATTACTTTGTCGTGTCTTTTCGCGTAGTCTGACCGTTTTTGCTTCAATGCTCGGCTCAATTTCATCAATTATTGTTGGTAGCATTCCCCAGTGAGGATTTCGTTGGCTCTCTTAGAGCAGTTCATAATACACTACAGCCAGTTGATCCCACCAAATACAGAGCATGAGCTTGGCGCCATGAATATTGGGCTTTGCTGTCGATGTTGATAGTTCGTTTGGCCTGCACCATAATAGTAAAGCTAGCCCGATTCTAACTCACTATGTGTTAATGCGTGTACATATATGATGTATATGTATATATGTGAGGGAGTCAGGGGAAGTACCTCACAGACATTGGGAAGAGGGAAGCGCGTCATTGGGGTCCATGGTAAAGGGGGAAGGATTCATTCCTTCTCTCTCTCACTCGTTGCGTTCTCTCTTTAACCTATTGCCTTCTCTTTCCTACCCATTGTAGCATGTAGTTCTTTCTGTTCCATCCGTTGCAGTCCTATACTTATTATTTGCGCTCTCTCTTTCTTCCGTTGCGTTCTCCCCTACGTTGTCTTTTCTGCATGTGATTTAATTAAATAGATATGGTATTTACAATTTTTAATAATACGATTTAGAAACTAATTATGATAATATTTTTATGAATTTTTAATAATATAACCTAATAATATTAATTATGATAATATTTTTTTTAGTAATATAGTACAAAAATGATCAAGCATGCTTTCTTATTGACTAACTCAATACTACTATGAAGATATGAAGAAGAAAAAGTGGCGAAGATACTAGGGATAAAATAATTTTAGAAGACAAGAATATATTTTTTAACATACATTTATTTATCATGTAATGCAGTATGTACAATATAATCTAAACCATAGACTATTAGTTCACATTCTATAATAGAATTTTTATCATAAATTTTGTACAAAGTGTTCGCAGTATCGCTTTTATTAGTAATACAATTTTGTCTTAAAAATGACACAAAATATTTGAATTTTTTACTAACATCGTATGTATATTGACTCAGTTTATAGAATACATGTTCAACATATTGCTCAAGCTCAAATAAGAAAAGCACAGATGTTGTTTCATGTACAAACATGTGCCACTTAAGGTTAACTTCATGTTATTCATATCATATATTTTAACAAGTTCCACATTTAGATCTTGAATCGGTGATGATGATAAAATTGTTGACTGTATTAATCATTCGATATCTGCACGCCTCTCGATGAATGTCTTCCACGTAGCATGAAGTATGAACATGCGATTGCCTCGATTATTACTAATTGCAATTTGCACATGAGATATAGATCTCATAACGATCATCGGCCCTTGGTTGATCATCGGTAGTTATCCTTAAGGGGACGCTGTTTCCGGTATCTGGCCAAGGGTCATACGCAGTAGCGGTGTCTGTCCTCTGTACCCTCAGGACCCGATACTGCTTTAATTGGGCGAGCCGGGTCATATATCTTGGGATAAACTTTGGTTTCCGCGCTGACTTGTGCCCACCTCCTGGATTACTTCGGGCCAATGCGAGTTGACGCGGGAGCAGAGAACAGCGGAAAGCTGTCGAGAGCGTGGTGCGGTCTCGCTTCCACGTTGCTCGGTAAGTCCTGCCATTTGCGACTGACGCGGGTGTGGAAGGAATGTTAACGCGTGCCCGCGATACAAGGCCGGAGTAGGATACAGGGGAGGTTTTTAGTAGGTGGTTTCGCTTGGTCCCTTTGAGACATATCCATCTTGGTTGGGTATGTCCATCAAGGATCTTCTGGACCGAATCCAGCGTATTCCGAATCTGATCAGCCCGGAGTATGTATGAAGATTTTCCCCTCTTACACAAAAAAGGAGCTCTTTGAGTTTTTAGATCAGTGCACTTTCGATTTTTAAGCTTTATCCCTTATCTCCAAACTAACCCCAAATTTAGTCTATACTTAAGAAGTAAGTTCATTAAAAATAGGACTACATCTAAAACTTCATTAATGAATATTATTGGATGAATATTTAGTCATCGATAATTACGACCTTGATAAGTACGAGACATATAACATTTTTACAATTAAGCAAATAATAACGAAATGGCACGCAACATAAATTTCGTCGTCAAAACGTCACTTTTCCACGCCTATAAGTTTGGTCATTTATCATGGTGCGGCGCTGTAACAAACAAGCATGAGTCCATGTCCGTGTGCTCGCCTGCGGCGCGCCGAGAGTGGCTTGTT